AAGTATTTCGAAGATTATATGTCAAAACATTGTTCAAATAATGACATGCTAATAGGCTTAGAATAAAAAACATAAGCAATAACAAAACCAATAAAGAAAGAAGGAAAAATCAGAATTTAACAAAAATAATTTATTATAGAATGCAAGGGGGGGAAAGGTAGAAAGAAATATAAAGAAGTCGAATTGCTGTGGAGGGAAGTAGAGGGTGGTGGGTTTTATAATTAAGTGTTTAATTATGCAGCTGTTGTAATTTAGATATTATATGTTATGTGAGGGAATCATTGGGAATTTTGGTTATTATGTATATATGTTAAGTTTCAATAAAGATCTTTGTGGTGGGGGGAATGTGTGGAATTAAGCATTTGCAGGGCTACTTATGGATAGCAGTGCCAGGGTCCTGACCAGTGAGGTACCCATGGCGCCATCAGAGCATTTGCATCTTATAGGGATCTCAAACTGCAGGCACCCAGAGTCTGAGAACAACATTACGACGTCACTGCCAGTCTGGGTAGACAGTGCTGAGCTGCATGGATAAAAGGTAAAGGGACCCCTGACCATCAGGTCCAGTTGTGGCAGACTCTGGGGCTGCGGCGCTCATCTCACTTTACTGGCCGAGGGACCCAGCATACAGCTTCCGGGTCATGTGGCCAGCATGACTAAGCTGCTTCTGGCGAACGAGAGCAGCACACGGAAAACACTGTTTACCTTCCTGCTGGAGTGGTACCTATTTATCTACTTGCACTTTGACGTGCTTTTGAACTGCTAGGTTGGCAGGAGCAGGGACCGAGCAATGGGAGCTTACTCTGTTGCGGGGATTCGAACTGCCAACCTTCTGATTGGCAAGCCCTAGGCTCTGTGGTTTAACCCACAGCACTACCCGCTGTGTACAGTCTGGGTAGACAGTGCTGAGCTGCATGGATAGATTGGCCCAATAGAAGACAACATCACATGCTCATAGATGGATGGATACTACATGTATGTTACATGCGAGAGACGTGGCTGCATTTTTAAGGCGGCACATGTAAGCTGAGAGCATTATCTTTTCAGCTGAGATGTCTCAGAAAGGTCTGGTCCACTCAATGGACCAGAATGTGGTCTAACCCCCCCTTAAATCCATATCAATGAAAAGTACTCACTCTGAAACTCACCTACAGGTGGTACCTAACACCAAGAAGACTAGTGCTAATGCGCCCAGGAACCTCACCAAATTGCTGGAGAGGGTGCACCTCCACAGGCACATACCTCCACATGTGGTGGGAGTGCCCCAAAATCCAACTATTCTGGACAACAGTCATACGAGAACTATGTAAAATAACTAAGCAAGTATTAGAAGTCACCCCAGAATTGGCCCTCCTAAACATCTTCCAAGACAATAATGCCCATTTACACCACAAAGAACTCACAACCCACCTACTTTCAGCAGCCAGAAACACCATAACCAGACACTGGAGAGACCTGTCAGGAGTAAGGCATGGACCAATGGTACCAAGTAGTATGGGAAACAGCCTTACTAGAAAAATTAACCAATAAACTGAAACTGACATGGGGACAAACAAAAGAAGACACCTTCACCCCAGTATGGCTGCCCTTTATCACATACACAGCCCAACAAGTCAATAACAAAAAACCACCAACAGCATACAAATCAATATGGCTAACCTGATCCAAAACACCCACCCACCCCACTCACACATGAAAACAAAGATCACCACAGCCAACCACAAACAAACAATCACACCCTAGGCCAACCCCAACCTCTCTCACCAGCAAAGGAACACAAGCAGAGAACCTGCACAAGCGATGCTGACACAAAACCCCACATATATTAAGTATAATAGAAACATCGCCACCCCACCCCCACCCCACCCCTACTCACCCCCCCACCTCCTTCCCCCTCTTCTTCCTAATGTCTCAACAAATGAAACTGATCTGTAAAAAATGTTACTTGGAAAAAGAGAGAGAGTGAGTTTGCACATACTTTTGTAAACCAAGAAAATCTTTAATAAAAATGCATTAAAAAGGAAAGGAAGGAAGGAAAGAAAGCCCCCACAGCATATGCTCAAAAGCTCTCCGTTATCAGGACTTTCCCCCCAACCAAAGATGAATTCTCTTCTGTAGAAAAGACACTCTGAATGTGCTCAGAGGCTCCTGGCCTTCACTTAAAGCACTCTGTGTTATTTGGCCACTCTGTGTGCTGTGGGAGTGTGCACAAGCACACAATGTTCAATTCTGTTTCCTCAGAGGTTAAACTTTTCTTACAATATAAGAATCAGGAGGTGCTGCACTCTCCTTCCTTGGAGGTTTCCAAGCAGAGGTTGGATGGCCATCTGCCATGGATGCTTTAGCTGAGATTCCTGCATTGCAGGGAGTTGGACTAGATGACGCTCAGGTCCCTTCCAACTCTCCATTTCTCTGATTCTACGAATCATCAAAGGCCTTAAAATGTTCTTGCTATGATGGAAAAAAAAATAATGAAATGAGATAGATCTTAGGTAAAAATTTCCCTCTACTTATTTGAGGACTTTATTGTGCTGGTCCCAAGGGTTAACCGTGCGGTGAGGTCCGAGTCCAGTCCGAGGTCAAGGGTGCAGTATGGAGGCTGTCCGTCAAAGCTGAAGCAGGGTCCAAGGCAGGGAGTCGGGGGAGGTCAGGAACTCTGGCAGAAGAACAGGACAGGGTTCAGGCAGGAACTGGCTACCAACAACGTTGCTCCCGCAACTTGGGACTGGGCTGGCTGGCTTTTATCTGCTCTGAGGCATAGGGCGGCCCCAGTCCACAGGTGACTCGCCTCTCCTGGCCTGGAGGCAAGCACTCCTCCTGCAGGAACTTAGTTCCCTCCGCCTCTCTGCCCTGAGCCTCTGCAGCTCAGGAGAGGCTGGAGGGTTACCGGACCCAGAGGCAACCTCAGCTTCCTCTGACGGGGCTGAGAGTGGAGCATCTGCAGGCAATGGGTCCTCCATCACCTCTGGAGCCAGAGCAGACTCAGCTGATGCCTGCACCTGAGGACCCAGCACAGGTGAGGACCCTTCAGACTCATGCCCCAGCCCCGGCTCAGCTGGTTCTGGAGGCGGGGACTCCTGTGCAGGCTGGGATTCCTCAGGTTCAGCCTCCGAGTCCAAATCCCAGGCCATCACATTTATAATCTTTGGCGATCACTTGTAGCCGAGTAAAATTGTCTTCCATGAACATGGTCTTAACAGTGAGTCAGTAAGTGACTGTGGTAGCCAGTTCTGGATCCACACGTCCTTCCACAGTGGGGACATGGGTTTTGGGGCAGGAGCTGATCATGGTGAGGGTTTTCCAAACATGCCTTCCTCTTAGCATGTTTCTCCTTTTCGTTTGAGTGTCTTCAAAGCCCATGACACCTTTGGTAAAGGCTGTTCTCCAATTGGAGCGCTCGCAGGCCAGTGTTTTCCAGTTGTCAGTGTTTATACTACATTTTTAAAGATTTGACTTGAGAGGGTCTTTAAACCTCTTTTGTTGACCACCAGCATTACGCTTTCCATTTTCATTTTTTTTAAAAAAAAGATTTTTATTCAAGATTTTCAACATACATAGAGAAGACAAAAACAAGAAAAAACAGACAAAGAAAAAAACATACAAAAAAGATAAAGAAAAATATAACATCATAAACCAAATCTTACTTTCTTAACTATTTGGACTTCCTCACATCTTTCGTTCCTGCTTTCCAAATTTAAAAAGTTCTAGACAGCAATTTATCCCCTTATTTCAGATACTTATTTATGTTTTCCAATTATTATGTTTCCCATTTTAAATTTGCCTCCCAAAAACTTAAAACCTTGATTTAGACATAATAGTATTCAAAGATTAACTTTAGCTCAAATTTCACTATATTCTCACGTTCTCTTTAACTGATTTACTGATGCCACATTTGTTTTTACTCTTTCACCTTCTTAACATTCATACAGTTTACAGTATTTTTGTAGATAATCCTTGAATTTTTTCCAATCCTCTTCCACTGCTTCTTCTCCCAGGTTGCAGATTCTGCCGGTCATTTCTGCCAGTTCCATGTAGTCTATCAGTTGCATCTGCCAATCTTCCAACGTGGGCAAATCATGAGTTTTCCAATGTTTAGCAATCAATATCCTTGCTGCTGTTGTTACATACATAAAGAATGTATAGTCCTTCTTTAGCACCCTTTGGCCGGCAATGCCCAAAAGCAAGGCCTCTGGTTTTACGCTTTCCATTTTCAATTTCGGAATAGAGTAGTTGCTTTGGAAGACAATTATCAGGCATCTGCACAACATGACCAGTCCAACAAAGCTGATGTTGAAGAATCATTGCTCCGACACTGGTGAGCTTGCCTTCTTCCAGTACACTGGAATTAGTTTGCCTGTCTTCCCAAGTGATGTGTGAAATTTTTTGGAGACACCATTGATGGAATCTTTCGAGGAGTTGGAGATGGTGTTTATAAGTGATCCATATTTCACAAGCATACAGTAAGGTTGGTAGTACAATAGCTTTGTAAACAAGCATTTATGGTTTCCCTTCAGCAAGACCCTTTACATAATGATAAAACTGTGGTTAAGAAAATAATAACCTTTCTCTTTTCTCTTTATTTTCATTTTTTTTAAAGTAATTGCATCGAAACAGTAGAAAAAAAGACAGCATAAAATCACATAAAATAATAATATTTTTCTCTCCCACTTAGGTCTCTCTAACCAAATGTTCTCATCCCTGGGGAAGGCGCTCTCTGTACATGCTCAGAGGCACCTCGAAGTAGTCGACAACATTTATTTATTGAACCGAAATATATACCAAGCTGGCTAAGGCTGCCTAAACATTCAAGGATATAAATGCTGAGCCCTGGCTTACAAATATGTGCCGCTCTTCCAGCCGCCTTGCCTCTGCTTTCGCTCCTCGGCGGGCGCACAGAGGATGCAGTTGCGGCGACGCTCCGCTGCGCTGCAGCAGCAGCCCCTGGGCATCTTTCTCTGCCGCGCAACAGGGGCGGGAGGAGGAGGAGGAGGAGGGGAGAGAGAAGGACAGAAACTACAGCCCCCATCATGCAGAGCGCCTCGCTGAAGCCTTTAATAGGGTAGGGCTGGGAGCAAGATGGCAGCAGCGGCGGCGGCTCCGACTGCAAAGGGAAAGGGAGCGGCGCAGGTGAGTGCGTGCGCTGCCCGCCGCGGATGTGCGGGCATCGATCTCAGGCGCGGGTATCGCTTTGTAGAGGAGGATGCGCATAGGCTCCCATTTGCAGGGCCAGGGAGACAGCAGCAGCAGCAGCAGCAGCAGCGACAGAGTCGGTCCTCCCTGCCTCATTTTTCCTTTCCCCTCCCTTGGCTTGGGCACAGTGGACTGAGGTGCATTGCAATTTTTTCCCCCCGCATGTTGCATTCTTAACATTTTATTTGCCGCCTTTCCTCCCAGGAGCTCAAGGCGGCGTACACCTCCCCGTTTTTATCCACCCAACAGCCCTGCGAGGTAGGTTAGGCTGAGAGCTGGTGGCTGGACCCCAGGTCACCCAATGAGCGTCATGGTTTTTATCTGGGCGTTTTCCCTTTCACCCCGTTTCCCCTCCATGCTTCCTCCCCCCTCCCGTTTCACCCCAACAACAACAACCTTGCAAGGTAGGCTAGCCTGGAAACAGCTGGCCAAGGTGGTCACCCAAATCAGCTCCGTTTGCCTGAGAGGAACCCTGGTCACAGCCCAGTATTTCCCAAATTTGGGTCTCCAGCTGTTTTTGGACCACAACTCCTATCACCCCTAGCTAGCAAGACTGGGGTCAGGGGTGATGGGAATTGTAGTCCGGAAAAAAAACAATTGGAGACCCATGTTTGGGAGACAGTGCTCTAGCCACTTCAACACACTACCTAATTCACACAAAGCGTAGAGCTTTCTTGGCTTATTAAACTCTGTGCCGTTGGCTGCATCGTTATAATTATATCTGGGGTTTTCTGCCCCCCCTTTCTTAACTTTATGCCGGAAAGTATCTTTCAAATTTAGCAGGGCCAGGTGAAAAAATGAGTTAGGTCTCTTTCTTGCCCTTTTAACAGCTGTGTAGACTTTCAGCTTAGCTACACCTGCTGAAATCTAGTCTGCACGGCCATTAAAGGTGTAGGGACATTTTCTCCTTTGCATCTGCCCCCCCCCATATGCAAAGCATGCCTTCTTCAAATGCCCCCTTGCCAAACCCTCTTGCAGTGTGTTGAGCGTGTGCTCACAGCTGTCAGGAAGATTTGACAACCTCTGTCGCACCTCCATTTGCAGTCAGAACCCGGGGCTGGGAAGGTGGGAAATCCTTGCTGATCAGCTTATAGCTGCTAATCTGTTTGTCATCCCCGCACACACCTGCTTTCCTACGTTCCCTGCCCCTACAGATAAGGCAACTATGGTGCCGAGGAGGAAGAGATTCTTCTCTGGTATGAAAAGCAGCGCTCATCAAATCCCCAAGTCTGGATTTGGAGTGGGTGAGGATGCAGCAGAAATGCCAAGATAACCCTTGTTTGTGCCCCTGTTTCCTCTCCTCCCAGATTAGGAACCTGAGAAGCAGCCTTTTACAAAGCTGCAACCCATTTAGTTTAGTATTGTCTACACTGACTGGCAGCAGCTCCCAGGGTTTCAGGCAAGGGACATTCCCAGCCCTACCTGGAGATCGAACCTGGAACATTCTGCATGCTAAGCAGGTGCGCTAACACAGAGCCCTTAATTTGTCAGTATGCTCAAAGCAATCTCTTTCCCCCTTCCCCAAGGTGTTAGTAATTTGGGGTAGGAGTCAATCGTATGCCAACAGATTAAGCAATGGGCTGTAGCTCAGTAAGAGAGCACCTCTGTTCTGCATGCAGAAGGTTCCTGATTTAAAATAAAAAAAATTCCTTCCAGTAGCACCTAGTTGTTGTTTAGTTGTTTAGTCGTGTCCGACTCTTCATGACCCCATGGACCAGAGCACGCCAGGCACTCCTGTCTTCCACTGCCTCCCACAGTTTGGTCAAACTCATGCTGGTAGCTTCGAGAACACTATCCAACCATCTCGTCCTCTGTCGTCCCCTTCTCCTCTTCTTTCCCAACATCAGGGTCTTTTCCAGGGCGTCTTCTCTTCTCATGAGGTGGCCAAAGTATTGGAGCCTCAGCTTCAGGATCTGTCCTTCCAGTGAGCACTCAGGGCAGATTCCCTTCAGAATAGATAGGTTTGATCTTCTTGTAGTCCATGGGACTCTCAAGAGTCTCCTCCAGCACCATAATTCAAAAGCGTCAATTCTTCGGCAATAGTAGACTGTAGCGGGTGTAAAATGGAATTGTGTCCTGGTTATTTTGTGTGTGTGTGTGTGTGTGTGTGGTTGTAGTTTTTCCAATAGCAGATTCCAGGCTGCTGCTATTTTTGGGGGGTGGGATTCAGTCAGGGCTATTCAGGTTGCATAATTATAGTTGATTGGGAGATCTTTGTGCAACAAACCTGTTTCCCTGGAAGATCAGACTTTTTTGCAGTAAGGAAAGTGACAAGAAAATGCGAGACAAAAAGTGTAAGCTAACACTTGCTTTGCTGCAACTTCACCTAACTTCCCTACAAATGCTCATTAAATAGCCAGCACTGTCTAATCTCATTGCAAACAGATCAGGATGTATACTGAACAAAACAGGTCAGCTGGAACTGCCCTCATTTCAGAGGAGGTGGACTCTGCTTGTGAGCTACAGTTTTCTGAAAGACACAACAGCAAAAAGGGATGCATGGTAACTGTAAGCTATGTGTAAATAAAATCCAGTATACCATTACAAAATATAATAGTGCTTAGCATTTGCATGGATCTACAGGGGATGCAATCTGCTTCTGAGTGCACCAGCTTTTGCTGTGAAAATGGCAAGCCAGGAATAAGGCTGCTGATTGCGAGGCAGCTCATGCTGTGATTAAAGTACAATCCTGAGCATATACCGAGATTTTATTTGTCTCTTTAGCTTCTTATTGGCTGTGGTTCTCTAAGGAAATCAGGCAGAGATCTTTCTCACTCAGGCACCCTGTGATCCCTTAAACTGACATTCCAAGGGGATGAATTTGGGAGCACTTCCAGAAGGATGCACGCCAGGAATGGGAATCCAGTGACTCCAGGAAGGCTGCAGGTCTCTTGCTTCTGTCAGCCCCAGGCAGCGCAGCCAGGGGTCAGTGGTGATGGGTAGTTACTGTCTTAAAATGTATAGACTCATAGAATTGCAGAGTTGGAAAAGACCATGAGGGGCATCTCGTCCAAACCCCTGCAATGCAGGAATCTTTCACCCAGGGTGGGGCCTGAATCCATGCAATTAAGAGTCTCATGCTCTATTGACTAAAGGAGGACCACAGATTCCCCATCCAACATCTAGCCAAATATGAGTGGTTTCAGAGGCAGGTATAAAAGATGGTTGGTAGAGCACGAGACTCTTAATCTCAGGGTTGCGGGTTTGAGCCCCACGTTGGGCAAAAGATCCCTGCATTTCAAGTGGCTGACCCAGAGATGACCCTCTTGGTCTCATCCAGCTCTACAATTCTATGAATTCTATGTGGGAAGGATGAAGAAATTATATACCTAGTTATATACCCTTATACAGTGGTACCTCAGGTTAAAAACTTAATTCGTTCTGGAGGTCCATTCTTAACCTGAAACTGTTCTTAACCTGAGGTATCACTTTAGCTAATGGAGCCTCCCGCTGCCACCGCACAATTTCTGTTCTCATCCTGAAGCAAAGTTCTTAACCCAAGGTACTATTTCTGGGTTAGTGGAGTCTGTAACGTGAAGCATCTGTAACCTGAAGCAGGTGTAACCCGAGTTACCATTGTATACATAATAGATCTGTGGTCTGTGAGAAAGTTCCATGGATTTCAGAAGCCCATTCCATAGTAAGGCGCCATCTCTACTATACATTTAAAGGACATATTAGCTATTCTGGTTAACCCTGTGAGGTTTGTGTACATTGGAATATGGGAAGCTTCTTTAGAATTGTAGAGTTGGATGGGGCCAGTCATCTAGTCCAAACCCTTGCGTTGCATGAATCTCACCTAAAGCATCAGTGGCAGGTGACCATCCAACCTCTTCCTAAAAACCTCCAAGGAAGGAGAGTCCACCACCTCCAGAGGGTGACCGTTCCATGGTTTAATGGCTCTTAGCACCAGAAAGTTCTTCCTGAAGTTTAGTCGGAATCTCCTATAATAATAATAATAATAATAATAATAATAATAATAATAATAATAATTTATACCCCACCCATCTGGCTGGGTTTCCCCAGCCACTCTGGTCGGATTCCAACAGAACACTAAAATACAATAACCTATTAAACATGAAAAGCTTCCCTAAACAGGGCTGCCTTCAGATGTCTTCTGAATGTCAGGTAGTTGTTTTTATCTTTGACATCTGGTGGGAGGGCATTCCACAGGGCGGGTGCCACTACCGAGAAGGCCCTCTGCCTGGTTCCCTGTAACTTGGCTTCTCGCAATGAGGGAACCGCCAGAAGGCCCTCGGCACTGGACCTCCTCAGTGTCCGGGCAGAACGATGGGGCTGGAGACGCTCCTTCCCCCATTGGTTCAAGTCCTACCCACCAGAGCAAGAGAAAACAAGCCCTTATACCAAGTCAGACCACTGGTCCATTTAGCTGCATATTGTCTACACTGGCTGGCAGCTGATCTCCAGAGTTTTGAGCAGGGCTTCCTTCCAGCCCTTCTGGAGAAGATGGGGATTGAACCCGAGCTACAGCCTTTCCCCTTATCATTGCCATCGGTGGACTACATAGACACAATAAATTTGGATGAAAGCACATGTTGAAGTCTGAGCCTGTGTTCTCCATTAAATGAGGCAACCCTGGAAAGCGATGCTGCTGTCCACAGCATTGGTGCAAAGAAGTTATTGCAATGAAGACGAGCACCGAGGCTCTTGAAATGTTAATGTTGCCCGTGTGCCGACGCTCCTCTAATGACTCTTACCAAACGAGGCAAAATAGTTGAGCGTTGTGGGCGGCTTTGCACTTGACATTTTCAGTGTGGGTATAAATACCCAGAGTGCGAAAGAAGCAGGCTCCCTGTCGGTTGTCAAAGGCACGTGCAGAGAATGGTGACCATTCCCTGCAAAACACGCAGAAGCAAGTGTCTGATTCTTGGCTGCCCCGTCTGTGATAAAGCTTCTATTTATACATGCACCCTCTG